ATTTACTTGTTCTTTCAATTAGAATGTATGTGCCCAATAAATATCCTTCTGTTATTTGCATTCCTTCCTGGTGTAGCAATTTTAATGGCCAGTAGTGTAGTTGTGGGCATAAAAAAAATTTAAGAAAATTAATATCACAACATAAAGTGCTAGACTTGCCATGTTTTCAGCGTTATCCCTTATTTGACCATATTTGTGTAAAAAATCACCGTTTTTAATTTTCGGATAGCATGTTGAAACATATAGCATGCTTGCGGAGTCTTTCAAACTTCATTGTTTGTTGATTTCGTTGAAATTTAAATTGAGAAAAAAATGTGCTATATTTTAAACACTACAAGTATAATAATATTGGATGGAGCGCTTTTTTATGCTGAGGTTTAAAATACAATAGGAAGAAGTAACCCGAAAGTAAAACTAACGATGAATTTTAAGCACTAGCGCTATCTGTACTTAGTTTTACTGGTCCAAAAATCCATTGAAAAGGGGCTCAAAAATAGAATTTGTAATTGCGGAGTCTTTTTTTAAATTTTTGCTATAAATATTACTTGACATATATAGGCATTTTCTGAAAGTATGTCTTCCATAGTTTGGTAATTATATATACTTGTTTCATGTATATTTCCCGATCTATGAAACAAGTTTGAAATGAATTTCGGGTTACAAAAAATTTAAAAAAGAAATTACCAAATTGTCCACATTTACATTAATGCTTTGTATGTTCTGAAATTTGCATGGACTAAAGAATTTTTTTAAAAATTGCGCTATAAATATTTACATATATTCATATTTTTCTGTAAATATTTCTAGTAAGTACGCGCTGTAAATATCTGTATTAATAGAGAATATGATGTTCATATATTAGTATGAAACAAGTTCAAATGAATTCCACGTTGCAGAAAACTGCTAAAAAGAATTACCAAATTGTCTACTCTTACGTCAGCGTCTTATAAGCTCTGGAATTGTGCGTAATTTGGGCTAATTCTGAGTTTTGAAAAAAAATGTATAAATATTTCTAAGCATTAAATGGTATTATTGGAAAACATGATGTCCGTATTTCAATATAAATTTCTTTTTAATGAATTCGTGTTGAATAGACAGGTATAAGACAAAATAATAGAAGCACCTGTGAAAGAATGGAGTCGTCCTTCGACCGGTTAATAAACGGCGGGCACGTGTCGCAAGAGTGTACCACCTAGTGGTGATGAAAGGAAAGGTATCAGTCTAGCATTTGGCAGAGTGAGAGTTGCATGAGAAAAATCTGTTCCTAGCAAAGAGAGATTATGTACGACCTCTCTGACCTTAAAAGATGCATGATAATCGGAGCTCGCCTCACTGGAGCGAGTCCAGAACAGCGAACCTTGTGGGTGTTTCAAGGACCACTGTATCTAGGACTCTGTCAGCATACACAAAGTTGGGTAAGGTGTCTTCTGCGAAGCACAACAGCGGCAGGAAGTTGTCGGACCGTGATAGACGGGTGTTGAAGAGGATAGTCGCTCGAAAATTCAAGACTACACTGCCGGTGCTAACGTCCGAAGGTGGGTATTCATCTACAGTACCCCGTATCCATGAAAACCCTTCAAAGGGAGTTGCATGCTGCAAACATTTATGGCAGAGTAGCTATTCCAAAACAATTAGTTTCAGCTCGGAATGTTTTGAAGAGACTACAGTGGTGTCAAGACCACCTAAAATGGACACAACTGCAATGGGACACAAGTCATCTGGTCTGATGAATCCTCTTTTACACTATTCCAGACCACCGGACGCGTGTTCGTGTGGCGAACGCCGGCAGAAGCATTTCATGTTGACTGCCTGGTTCCAACCTTGAAATGTGGAGGTGGTTCTGTGATGGTGTGGGTAGCTATATCTGCCCGTGGATTGGGACCTCTCGTTGTCTTGAGGGGGGTGGTCAAAGGTTACCATTACCGAAGCATTCTCGCAGATCATCTTCACCCTATGCTTCATACTCTCTTTCCGGGAGAACGTCCTGTGTTCCAAGATGACAACGCCCCTGTTCACACTTCTCACTGTATTCAAACATGGTTAAATGAGCATAATGATGAAGTGGAACATCTAACGTGATGTCCTCAGTCCCCTGATTTCAATATCATCGAGCCTTTGTGGGGTTTTTTAGAGATAAAAGTCTGTGCTCGGTTTCCTCCTCCACGTACTCTTTGAACTCGTGACGGCCCTGCAAGAGGAATGGCAGCAAATTTCGATGAACTTTGTTCAAGATCTTTATTTGCCAATCCCACGTCGAATGCAAGCTGTCATTCAGGCCAAAGGTGGCCCAACTCCTTATTAATAAAATATTTTCATTTTTTCACAGTTGTTCCTATTATTTTGTCCTATACCTGTATTTATATATATAAATCACAAAGTACAATCAAAATTTACATGTAAATAAAAAGATGCATGATTTGGACCAAACAATTCTTGAAGCATTTTCGATGAATATTTTAAGGGCTTATTTGCAGATCATGATGCCCATATTCTAAAACAAAGCAGATTGCAAACGGATCCCTGCTTGTAAATAAATAAACTATAATGTGATGTTATAAAAAACCCGTCGTGTACGGAGTCTACTTCTCATTTTTTTCTTTGGTTTCTGGGAAAATATTTCGTTGTACTTAAAATATTTCCTTATGTGCTTTAAATAATTTGAAAGTAGTTTATTACACGTTTCGTTATCTCTTTTCGTTTATTTATTTATGTGGCTTTTATTGTTTTTAAAGATATTTCATTGTCAGATTTTTACCTGGTACAAAGTAAAATATTCGTGAAAAAGCTATGCAAATGTTGAAATTTCAAAACTTAATGTTCAGGACTTAATTTTTCAGGGCTAGATTTTAGACAATCAAAATATTTTTTTGACTATGAGCCCATAAGATGACTTTATGAAGCACAAAGAGAAGAGCGACGTTTTGCTACATTTGTAATAAGTAGATTGCTTTTCAGCATTTAGATGCAGTGGAATCATAGAAATTTTGCGAAAAAAAAAGTCCAATACAAATATTATGCAAAAATGTTTTTGAAAAGCATGTTATTTACTCAAAGGTATTTAATGTAACGAAAACAATAATTAACCGGAAGTTATTGAAATTTACAAGCTTAATAGTTTTTAAATATAAATTTAATATTTATTCTTATATGAGTTGTTGTTGTAGTTAATTTACGTCACACTAGAACTGCACGATGGGCTGTTGGCGACGGTCTGGGAAACACCCCTGAGGATTATCCGAAGACATGCCATCACAATTTTGATCCTCTGCAGAGGGGATGGCACCCCCGCTTCGGATGATTGACTGAATGCATACAGTAACAATCTTCCTAAAACTGGAAGAAATATAGAACACTTCCGGTGTATCCCTCCGCTTATGTTATGCTTACAAGGCGATATATGAACAGGCTTAACATTCTAAAAAGTTTTACTGCAATAATTTTTGTTTAAATTCATGTGAAATGCTAGCATTCATAAGAGTTTTCTGTAATTTATAAATTCTTCATGAGCGTATGGTAAATTTAAGAAAATTATTATTACAACCTAAATAAAATTTAAGATTTGCCGAATTTCGAGTGCCATCCGTCCCGTTGTGGACTGATCGTTAAGACACGGTTCCCAGCAGATCACCGAAGTCAAGCATCACTGGCTACGGTCAGTGTGCGGGTGGGTGACCACTTGGACCAGTCTGCGTAGGGACCGAGGGTGTGCGGTATTGGTCCTCGCTAAACTGTGCTACCGTAAAGTGCTCGACTTCGCGCGCAGGTCGTCGGGCTACCGAAGCGGGGGTGCCATCCCCTCCGCAGAGGATCAAAATTGTGATGGCATGTCTTCGGATCATCCTCCGGGATGTTTCCCAGACCGTCGCCAATAGCCCATTGTGCAGCTCTAGTGCGACGTAAATTAACAACAACAACAAAAAAATCGAGTGCCATCCCTTATTTGGCTATTGGCGATCGAAAAGGGCTGCAGGTAGCGCAGAGCAGAACTCTCTACCTATGGCAACGCTTCGCATGCTTTCCCCATTAGCATGTGGAGAGTCATAGAGGATGGAAGTACGATAGTTTCTCTCTTCATTTTCATATAGATTAAAATCTTTTAAGTTGGAGAACTATGGAACTGAAAACTACACTTAACATAGTCCTAAAGAAAAGCATCATGGAAATCTTTTTATTTATTATTAAATAAAAAGGAAAAATATTAAGAAAAGGGAAAATATAGTAGTACATTCCTATACAACTGAAAGAGGAGGAGAGGGAAGGGAGAAAGGCATGAAACCGGTCTCTCCTCAGATGGCGTATTCGAGTGTTGCGATCGGCAATAATTATGTAAAATATCGCCGTTTGTTATTTTTGGAGCAACATCATAGCATGCGTGCGGGGTATTCCGAACTCATTTATTATTCGTTTCGTTGAAAGTTAACTTGAAAGGACACGTGATATTTCGAACACTATACCTCACACTTATATATAAGTGTACTAATATTGAATGACGCATAAAAATCAATCGGAAGTTGTAACCTGGAAGTCTTACGACAAATTTTAATCACTAGCATCATATGCTCTTAGCTTTACAATGTCAACCATCCATTGGGTACTGAGGTGCTCTACCTATGGTAACACTTTTCATGCATTTAACATTAGTATGTGGATAACCATACAGGAAGGAAGTACGTTAGTTTTGTCTTGATTTTCAAAGAGATAAAATATTTTCTAGTTGGGAAACTATATGGAACTCAAAATTGCATTAAACATTGTTCTTAAAGCTTCATGAAAATTTAAAAAAATATATTTTTAAATTTATATTATAAATAAAAAGAAATATTTTTATATGAAAGCTAGTGAAGTAAAGTATTCCATACTAAGAGAGTTCTGCTCGACGCCACTTGTAGCCCATTTTGTTGGTGGGTTTAGACATGGAATCGTACTTTTCCCCAGATGGCGAATTCGAGCGCTGCGATTGTGAAAAATAATCATGCGCAATAAAATGTTTATAAGAAGTGCTTAACTTCGACCGAGATTAAAATAATCACTGGATCGGTTTCCCGATAATAATTGCCATTTTCATATCAATATCGTTTGATATAAATAAGAATCAACTACCTATTATAATTTAATAATTTCATTATGTCTTATAGAAATAACGATTGCAGAATTTACGTTGGTAATTTGCCTCCTGACATACGTACTAAAGACATCGAAGATTTGTTTTATAAATTTGGAAAAATAACATTTATTGATCTGAAAAATAGACGCGGGCCTCCTTTTGCATTTGTAGAATTTGAAGATCCTAGGTTAGTCAAAAGCTTTTTGACCAATATTCCTAGATTTCTTTTAGTGTATATCAAATTTGTTTTTATTGTTCTCTATAATATAATGCGCAATTTAATGTATAATTAATTAGTGCAATATCTTATCTCAGGAAATGTAAATGCATACAGTTTAATGTTTCCCTGTTAAGTCCTGATATTTATGATTTGTTCTATATTAATACCTGACTGCTAATTCTTATTAATATTTAAGCAAATTTTAATGTTAATAGCCATTTTTTTCACGTTTATTGAATATACTTTATTATTCAGGTCTATTGCTAATTAATTTTTGTATACTTATCTATCATAAGACTCCAAGTTTTTTCTCCATAAGCAAAAGCATTTATTAATCCCGCATTGTAATGTGTTTGGTTTTTAAGTTTAGATCTCAACATTGTTTTATCAAAACAATTGTTTAAAATAATGTTATGGCTGGTTTTGATAATGTTTTATCAAAACAATTGTATGTATTTAAGACATCTATTTTAATATATATCCGTAGTTGAACAGCCTACCCAATTTTTGGGTTTACGACGGTACTTACGTATTATCGCAACCAGGTTGGCGCGATTTGTAAGTTTGAGTAAGAAAATATGAATAGAAAGAAAATGTACATTTATTAATTGCAGATAATTTTTAATACAGTTTTTTATATTATTTTGTTTTAAAATTATTTAAAACAAAATTATTATTATTAAAACAAATTATTATTATTAAAAAAAATTATTATTAAAACAAAATTACTTATTATTTTGTTTCTTTACGGAAAACCACGTATAACACGTAGGGTTGCCGCAAGTAGGGTCATCAAATTTGGCGATTTTTGGCTGGTTGCGTTAATACGTAAGTACCTTTATGACTGCTAATGTTCAACGCCATAGCCTTGTAATTTTGAACCAGTCCGTAAGACGAGGAAACTCCTGGATCAGTGACCCAGAGGTATTAATTTGTCAGTAATAGGGGAGATTTCGTATCAAGATCTGTGGCAGAATAATCGCCAAGTCTTGGCAACTTCCGGGTAGCTGCCTGCGAGAATCTGAAGAAATGAAAAGAACACAGAAAGAGACCAACTCGAAAGGTATAGCTCGTAGCCACCCCCAGGCTAACATTTACGCGTCTTTTTAAAAAAAAGTAATATTGGAAATCCATTCGGCACCTTGGCGATTGTAGTTGGCGAGATCAAGATACGGAAATATCCCCCAATAAGAGTTAAACAATATATTTNATTTGTAAGTTTGAGTAAGAAAGTATGAATAGAAAGAAAATAAACATTTATTAATTACAGATAATTTTTAATACAGTTTTTTATATTATTTTGTTTTAAAATTATTTGAAACAAAATTATTATTATTAAAACAAATTATTATTATTAAAAAAAAATTATTATCAAAATTATCAAATTATTATTAAAACAAAATTATTTATCATTTTGTTTCATTATGAAAAACCACGTATAACACGTAGGGTCGCCAAATTTGGCGATTTATGCAAATTTTGACCTGGTTGCGTTAATACGTAAGTACCTTTACGACTGCTAATGTTCAACGCCATAGCCTTGTAATTTTGAACCAGTCCGTAAGACAAGGAAACTCCTGGATCAATGACCCAGAGGTATTAATTTGTTATGGGAGCATGGAGGACTTTTTGGCTCCACAGATTTAATGTGCATCAGTCACCATTTACTACACGGGGAGTCTTCAGCCGGCGGGGATAGAACCCACAAACTCCTGGGCATGAGCCCAGCGCACCAGCCAGGCTATCCCGGCCATAAGACATCTATTACCTTTACTTAAAACCACATTTAAGCATCTTTAGGGTCAGTAATAGGGGAGATTTCGTATCAAGATCTGTGGCAGAATAATCGCCAAGTCTTGGCAACTTCCGGGCAGCTGCCTGCGAGAATCTGAAGAAATGAAAAGAACACAGAAAGAGACCAACTCGAAAGGTATAGCTCGTAGCCACCCCCAGGCTAACATTTACGCGTCTTTTTAAAAAAAAGTAATATTGGAAATCCATTCGGCACCTTGGCGATTGTAGTTGGCGAGATCAAGATACGGAAATATCCCCCAATAAGAGTTAAACAATATATTTATAACCCCAGAAACTGAATAGTGCCTTTATGTAACCAAAGTATATGTGGTACAAGAATCTGTATAAGCCATACATTAAAAAAACTTGTTATACCAATATTGTTTTATTTAATAGAGGTTTGCAAACATGTGCTGTTGAATCAACAATGTGTGGACCTTTGTTATTCAATTGAGAATTTGGTGATATTTCTTTTGAATATCTGGTACATCATTGGAATTTGATCAAATATTTAACTTTGAATAAATTTATAAAATATATATTGTTGCAAGCTCGGTGGATGTTGCAGAGATGATTGCTCTCTGGAAAAAATCCGGATTTCCAGAATTTCCACTAGCCGTGATCCGGAAATCAAAGGTCTAGAAGTTTCAAGAAATCGTCACGTTGTGTATAAAAATTCTTGCATATTTTTTCTGGTAGAATAATAAATGTGATTGGAGATAGAAGTAAACTTATAATTATTCATTTAAATTATGCTGATTTTTATAATTATCATTTAATTTATCTAGAATTTCATGTTTTGAAAATATTAATGATTTAAATTTATAAAGACATCAATCTTTTTGAAATGCGTCGTTAATGACTTTACTCAAGAAATTTTCAGGATTTTTGAGTTGGACTCACCATCACCCCTGATGTTGCTAGATTAACCTTTTGAAATTGTTTATAAAATTAGTTTTTTTTAGTGATTATGAAAACTGAATTATTTTCAACTTATGAAAGCTAAATGTCTTCATTTAACTTTACTACTCCCATTTTAGGGTTAATATGTTCTATTCTTTAAACATTTTGTTTTTAGCATGCCAAGCAAGTTTTTCCTAGAAATTACAGCTTTTGCAGAATTTACTTTTGTTTTACTAGTTATCAACATATTCATTGAGTAGTAATTGAAAATTTAGGTATTTTTTATTATATAAATTACTCTCACTCATATACATACCTATAAATTAAATGACAACACCCAGGATTTGAGTCCACTCTTCCCAAAATCTGGTTCCTGTTTAAAATTATTTCTCTACCTCTTTATTCATTGATTAATGTGATACAAGGAAATAGTTAATCTTTTATTTTTCATGGCTTTTAATTAGAGCAGACCAAACACCTGTGTTAAGGAAAAACAAGAATGTAATTTGACACTCGGGTACTATTCTAATTTTCTCCTTCAGCTATCAATTAAAAAAGAAGAGAATATAATCTAACAGTGATACTGATATATGTATATATATATATCGTAAGATTTTTCTTAGAAGTCCCTATTTTGAACTAAAATTTGTTGGTACACTGTTTTTCTTCGTGGTGATGAATTGTGTCCAGGTAACAAGTATAGCGAACACATAACTTATTTTTTGTGTCCCCTCTAAGGTTTTTGTATATATAATGCGCTATAGTGGGTTGTTGTTGTTGTTTTCGTGTCCATGGGCTATAGTGGGTAAGTGGAATCAGTGGATATTTGATATTCTAAGTTTGCTTTATACATGCTCTGATTTTTTTGTCGTTAGATAAACAATTCTAGAATGCTTATATATTTTTTTTATTTTTTCTTCTTTTTTTCAGAATTTACTTTTGTTTTACTAGTTATCAACGTATTCATTGGGTAGTAATTGAAAATTTAGGTATTTTTTATTATATAAATTATTCTCACTCATATACATACCTATAAACTAAATGACAACCAACCAAACATAACTAAACCAAATGGCACTGAATAAATATGCAGTGATGGAATTTTTTTAAAAGTAATGGTTTCATTATTTCAGAGATGCGGAAGATGCAGTTCAGGCTAGAGATGGATATGATTACGATGGTTACAGATTACGAGTTGAATTTCCTAGAGGAAATGGCCCTGGACGGGGAATGGGAGGTGGAGGAGGCGCTCCTCGAGGAAGAGGGCGTGGACCTCCTGCAAGACGTTCTCAACATCGAGTGATTGTTACAGGTATATGCAGGGTTTGCTGATTTAAATCTAATGGGGTTTAAAATTTTTATTACTTATGTAAATAACTTTAGTTCGAATGGAACCACATGAAAAAATATTGAATTTCCTCATAAAAATGTTCTACTTTTAAGTTTAATTATTAATAGAATTCGTAGTTTCCTGAGTTAAGCCAAATCACTGCTTCTGTCATAATATACTGTACAGTCATAATATACTTTCTTATAATTATGCAGCTTTAACTATATGATAATTGATCCTTACTATTACTAAGAAAATGTCTTGGTGTGATTAGTTTAATTCAGTGTAAGAAGAAGTTTAACATTCAAATTTGAAAACTATATTGAATGATTTTGGCCTGTCAAGTCTTTTGTCTTATCTTAAATCATATATTGCCAATACTTTAGGATGTAAAAGAAATCTGATTTTAGATTCCAATTTGCTAATATCGTATGAAAAAGTTTAGTAATTTATCTGAAAACAAAAGATGCATGACTTAGTTATTATGATTGGTTTTTATTTAGTATGCTTTGTTATAGACATTCTTTAATGTGGATATTTAGTTGGTAAATCATAATTTTTTTTTTATCTTGATTTGGATTGAACCTTGTAATTAACATTAAATTGTAATAAATATATTTACCTGAATTGTTTCTCTAATTAGGTTTGCCTTCAACTGGCAGTTGGCAAGATTTAAAAGATCACATGCGTGAAGCAGGTGATGTTTGCTATGCTGATGTTCATAAGGATGGAACAGGAGTTGTTGAATTTTTAAGATATGAAGATATGAAATATGCTGTTAAGAAGCTAGATGATTCTAGATTCCGCTCTCATGAGGTAATTATCTCGTAATTATTGAACAGGGAAATAAAAAGATTCAGTATGAAGTACCGCCAATTAAGGTGTAACACTTAAAATAAATTATGGCACCCTTGTAGTCATTTAATTACTTAAGATGATAGAAAGAATTCCAGAATCTTAAATAAAGATTCAAATAAGAATTGTGATGAATATATTGTAGCTCAGTAAAGGCTAACTCATCCCAAAAGGTTAATGAAATCTTTTTTTATATATACAAGAAAATATTACCAGTTTAATGTAATGCTATTCTTAGATTTCATAATAAATATTGGTCTTATATGAAAGATCTTTTGTTGATTGATATGCTTATAAAACAGCCTGGGATTTCAGATCGTTAAAATTTCAAGTGCCATATATATCTGTGTATAGGTCGACCACCTATACCACCTATTTCTTATTCCGAAGTTGCAAATCATCAAAAGTTTCTAAACTAAAAACTCCTTTCCAGAAAAATATTTAATCTTATAATGAATGGTTGCTGGAAAGTGAAAAAGCTATAATAAAAACAGAAAATTAGAAATTTTCTTGTTTCTTCTAAGGGCTTCATATGCAGTCTTAGATAACATGAAAAACTTTCTGCTAGCACATCTCGATTTGAAAAAAAGGAAAAAAATTTCTCCAAGTCACAGATTTTTTTTTTTATAAAAAATATTTTAATACTCTAGATCAGGGGTGTCAAACTCGCAGCCCGAGATGTATATTTTTGTGGCCCAGTCGATATATCTGAAGCAAAATAAAAATATTTTGGAAATGTGAATTAGAAACATCCTAAAAATCAAGATACGAGCTTGTTCTCCGATTAAATATTGTTGCAAGATTTATCTTTTATGGTTGATATAACCCAACACTTATCCGATTTACATTTATTGTTACAAGACGTTCAACAAGAGCAAATCTAGTTTAGATGATACTGCATCGTAACAAAAATAAGCAGAAAAAATTTCAAATCTTAGAACAGATTTTGAAACAAGGTTTAAAGATTTTAATTCTTTGGAAGGCAAATTTTGTTTGTTCATTTCGATTTTCTCAATAAATATAGACTCAGTACCCAGGTATATTCAAATGGAAGTGATTGAGATTCAGTACGACTCAAATTTGAAGGCAAAATTCATTGAAGTGGGTGTGCCTGAATTTTACGAATATTTACAGCAAGGTTTGAAAATACTCGAAAATTCGCATATGAAATTATTTAGTATGATAGAATTATTTTATTTAAGTACTTATCAGTGAGAGCAATTATTTTCTGTTAGGAATGGAAATAAATCTTCTGTCCGAAACCGTATTAATAAGGCTCACGTTAAGTCAATTTTGAAAGTAGTCTCGGCTAATAAAATTTTAAATTACTATTTATTCATAACTATTTCTTTTCATATTTCAGGATCAACGAATGTTCAACTTTCTCACCAGTGTATAATTCGACCCCATGATTTTCATAACATTTAAAAAAGTTGAAAAGTAATAGTTAATTTAATACTGTAGTAATAATTACTTTAATCATGACTTTTATTGTGTTTTAAAATTAACTGTCAAGTTGCGTTACTTTTTTGTTTGTAAGGCTCTTATTGGAAGACAATTTTTTCCCACAATATATTTACGTAATTTATAGCTTTAGGTAAATATATATAGATATAGCTAGATGTCACTTTCTCTCTAGTTTTCTTCATTGCTGCAATAAATTAAATACACTTTTTTATCATACTTAATTTTTATATTTAACAGTATAAGAAAAACTTCTATTTTTGCTATTTAATGAATGTTGTGCTATGCTTACTAAGTTAGTTATTCCTTTATAAATTTTAGGGGGAAGTTGCTTATATTAGAGTAAAGCAAGATTATGAAAGTCGATCAAGAAGCCGCAGTTATTCGCCTCGACGTACAAGAGGTTCACCGACATACTCTCCAGCCAATCGTTCAAGATCTCGTTCTCGCTCACGATCCAACTCATAGACATTTATCGAGACTGTGGACTCATACCCAAAACTGGTATCTGCATTAGATACTATTTTCTGTTTAAATTTTTTTATATTCATTACAGATTATGTTTCGTTATATGGACATTTTAAAAGAATTTTCTTTATAAAAAAAAATCATTGTAAAATTCACATATGTCTGATTGAAATGTATTTCATTGATCTGTATCACTTTGTCAAGTAACATTTTATAGTATACTAGGCTGAATTCAGCATTTTTGTGTAGGATGTAACAGTTTTCCAAATCTGTAAAAAAGTGCTTACGATGTTGCCATAATTTATTTTAGGTTAATTTTAAGTTTTTTTTAAAAAAATTATATGTACTAATTTCATCAATTTTGCTCAATTGTACAGTTTCACTACCTAAAAAATAAGCTGCTGTGCTCGACTTGGTTAATTTTTTAAAAAAAGATTATTTTAAGAGATGTACATTGTTTTTATTAGCTGTTAAGCTTGTAAGAAATGTAGTTATTTTCACAAAGCTAGTTTCTGGTTATACTATTATTCCTGGTGACAATTCATGGTCTTTAAATTACTTCAGTTTATTTAATTTGTTTTAAATACATTTTTAATTTATCTTACAATATTTTAGTTTTATGATTATTTGAAGAAATGGTATTTGACGAGGTTATGATATAAATCTTTGTTTCCACCTATTTATAATGTAGATTTTACTTTTTTTTTAAAAGCACGAAACAATTTATTAATATTCTTGAAATATCAACTAAAGTAAGCAATTAAGTTAATCCTAAATGTATAATTAATATAATAGTTTTGTACATTTTAAAAAAAAATTAGATTTAAGAACAGCAACACCAAATTTCCAAATTTCGAAGTATTAGTCTTAAGAAAAGATATAATTCATTTCATTAAAAAGCCCTAAATTGAGACTGGTATTTCAATCATATTAGCAATAATGATGCCTGTATAGGTAATCCTTAGTAGTCTGGAACTTGTTGCTTGCTAAATATGGATAATCTATTTCATTCTGTTACATTTTTATTGGGGAAGGGCATGTAGACAAAGTTGTGGGGTTTTTTCTTTTGTATTGGCAGCTATATCTGCACAGATTTTAACATGTTAAATCCCATGATCAGGGGTCTGTCCAGACAATTTGTGAAAGGTCCGTTTTTCTAAAATNCGTTAACGGACCCAAATTTTTTTCTAAACAGACCCCTGATGATATATACTTGTAATCAAGCATATAATATATAAATTATTTTCAAAAGTATTAATGGAAAGGTAAATAACAAATCTCACTCACAAATTGTGGTCTAGCACAGCCTCACTTAAACAAAATATTTTAAATCAAAAATTTCCATAAGTGAGACATTAACAGCATTTAAAAATTGGGTTCCTTATGATTTATACCAAAGTTTTGTTCTAGAACCTGAACCTTACACTTAGTATTAAGCAAGCATGGCAGTTTTAGCAATTAAACTCTACAATACCTTAAATAAGTATTAATGTTTATTGTGAATTTAAATTTATGTAAAACACCATGTTTGCTTTGTTGCTGTAAATGTTTTTAAATATTAGATCAGCATACAAAATAAATATATCTTTGAAATTTATTGTTTTTGGAGAAATAACTCTGTTTTAACCTTGTCAGATACCTTAATTTAATCAATAATAGTTAATATATTAATATAGTTTTAAATTTTTTCTTGTGTACTGATTTTTTTTGTTGACGTTATGTTGTAATATGTATTCAATTCATTATTCATTTGAAAATAAACTAATACAAATTTCACTTATTCTCAGATTTTTTGCAAAACATGGAGAGGAAAATCAAATAAATTATGGAGAGGAGCATTAAGGAGCTCAAAATTTTTAAAGGAATCCTAATATTTCAAGCAGGATGGAAAGGAAGGCATTTCATTCTGCAAATTTAGGCTAAGAATTAAATTGCCGGAAACCTTGATATTCAAAGGAAAGCCGCCCTTGCGAGGATTCATAGGATAATTCTGCGCTTAAAGGAAATTGCATTCATAAAGCCAGGAATCCCATCAGGAATTTTTTAAAGTCTATTAGGTATCATGTTTGAAAACAAACCGTTAAATTTGGAACTTGCAATTATTAAGATGTTTGTTTACATGATGCAGGAAATTTTTACTTTTTAAAGGAATGAGCTAGCAAGGAATCTCAAAATATTGTATGCTGCCTTATCCAATTTCTATTGGATAAGGCACTTGAAACATAGTTGATGTCCCGTTAAGGATTCTCAGGATATTATCTGCATTTAAAAGGATAAGATTGTCATGGCAAGAAAAAAACATAGTGTGCTTAAATTATTCAGCATTGTGCTTGAATGTGAATTCATAATTTTGGAAGCAGATAATGGATTTTCAATTTGGATAAAGTGCCCTTTGCACTCATTAAACTTGGATCATCGTTCCAAAGTTTTGTGTGCTTTTATTACACTGTGGCCTTGCTTGGACTTAATTAAAAAAAATTTGAAGTGCATAGGAAAACAATTAATGCTTAATAGTTTTTGGATCAGAATTCTGGATCAAGTCCTGGATTCGCTAAAAGTGCCCATGGGAGGATATTAATTTAATGTTCAAGATAGGATACCTAATTCTGGTCTCAGGATAAGGAGGACACATAACTTAACTCTGGAGTGGATACATAATTTAGGTATGGCTAAACACAATTAACCCTAACTTCAAAATCACAACTTGCATGCTGTATAAAATAATTTAAAGTTTAAAAAAAAAAAATCATGAAATATTAAGTGATGTAAAAAATTTATCACCTGCCAATTCATCAGTTTCTATTGAATTTATATAACTAAATATACTTGATACTTTTTCAGTTTTCTTTCTTTTTCTTAAATTATATAATTTTACATAAGAATTTTATTTTGGCTTGTGGAGCTATTACAAAACTTTGTTTTATTTAAATATTAGTCAGGGGTCTGTCTAGGTTTTTCTGAGAGGTACTTGTTTTGTGAAAATTTAGACATAATTTGTGCAAAATTATATTAAAATAATCAACACAAAAATATGGATTTATCATTTCTTGTGGGATGCAAAAATAAAATTTAAAAAAAAAAGTATTGTGTGAAACTACCGTTTTTCCTAAAGTTAAATTTGTGAAAGTACTGCTAAACGGTAGTAAATTTGGCCTGGACAGACCCCTGTTAATTAATATTAATGTGCAAGTCATTAATATTAATGTGCAATTTGTAAGTCATATTTTTGTTTATCAGGGAAATAAATTAATTTTTTATAATCAGCTAACATTGAGGCTTTATCTTAGATTTTTTTGTTTATTATAAAATATTTTTTTTAAACTTATTTTTATCTTTGTGGTAAAAACTCAATAAATATCACTTAAACCTTATGTATAAAGTTCCCTGGGTAGTTAATCTTTCTGTCCCTTTTTCTTGATTTCAACGAAATACTAATACTGTAGGCTCCAATATTTTATAAATAAAATTTATTGGAATTTAGTGGCTAGATTTTTTTTTCCTTGTTAAAAATACTTCAGTTAAATGAGTTGGCAGTTAAATATCTGATTTTTTCTTCCAAATAAAATCTATGCTAAGAATTTTTATTTTCCTTAGTTTAAACTTTTTATAGTAGCATCTTCATACATTTAGTGAATTCTGTGGTATCTAAATATATCTTTGTCTACCCAAGGTTTCCACGTCGAAGTACAGCAAAGACTGCTAAATATGTAAGGATCAAATGCAGGGAATCAAACAAACTGGATTCTTGGACAGGATCACTCAAATGGAAAGGATTCCAGTATTTAGTTTTTTTCTCTCCATAATTTGATCTGACTACTAATAGATTATTTAAAATTTCTAGAACCTATCAGTTACTTAAAAATAATTCTCTGGCTTGGAAGTTATCTATAATTTTAAATATCTTCATTTTCCTTTTTAATGTGTGGCTTAGTTCTGACTTTCTTAACTGTGCCATTATTTTTCTAATCTTTTCCTTCTATAAAATTAATAATTTTTTTAGAACTTTAGTAATTGTTCATTTCTGTATGCAATAGCTTGAACATCAATTACTAAATTGTTACTTATTTTTTTTCCTTTTTAAGTTTAGAATTTTTTTAAAATCTTCTTAAAAAACATTTACAATATCTCGAATAACAGTGCATTTTTCTGTTATATACACATAGTAATGATTTATTGTTCAATTTCTTAATTTCAATTGATAATTTTTTTCCTTTTGACTGATCATTTTTTTCCAGTAGCAGGCATTAACTGATATTCTTATGTCAAATTTTAACTTGATAAAACTAATTTGTATCATAAGACTAAAATCGTGGACGAAAATGAGTTTGCAACTTAAGCTAATTGTAAGAAAAAGAATTTTAACTACGTTAAATATATACATACTTAAATATTACATATTTTTATGGGATTATCCATTTTTGTTCTTTATTAATTTAAGTGAAAATTAGTAAGTTTTTAATCAGTAGAGTGACTTAAAGAGCTGTTTATCTTTTCTAGAATGTTAGTTTAATTAACAAGTTTTTTTTTCTTCTTTAAATGTCTTTATAATTAAATCTTACCTTAATCACTATGTTTTGATTTTTACATCCGTAATGAAAATAAGAGAAGCAGCATGATATTTTGAAATTATTAATAAAATCAAAATTCAACAATTGAAACTACTCTCAAAGAAATGGTTTGAATATGTAAGCTTGTTTAATATAAAATACCAAACATCAAGTACACTGAAATAAACTATTTAGTGGATAACAACAAATAATAGAAATTTATCACTTTCAGAAAGAAAATGCTTAAAGGTGATTTATTCGATGCTGGAGGGGGTGTTTGATTTTTCAGAGGTTGCTATTTTTATGGTTATGTTCAGATTTACTTTTTGTTTTGTAAAGGTTGGTGTGTATAAAAGCAAATTCGAATATCTGCATAAATTTTTCTGACAAAACTTATATTTCCGATGTCTAAACAAGTGCTTTCCAGCTGCTGCTAAAATTAAAGGCAAATTCAGATTTGCTTGTAAATGAATTTTTTTTAGTTCTTTATGTTACGTTAAGATGAAACAATGATTTAAGTTTTAAAAACTCAGAAAAAACAGTGTTCAAACTAAGTAATCTTGTAAGATTGTTGAAGTCAGGAACATAAGTAGTTAAATAATAAAATTTCCGTGAATAGAAGTAATTTATAATAGTACTAATGGATAGACTAAAACTATTTTTAATTTTACTTTTTGTTAAACTCCAAAGTGTCATCATCAGTACTGAAATAGAATAGAGAGAAATATAAAAATTGTCCTTTTTTCTTTTCTTATATGGAGCTGTAACATTTCTTTTAGAAATGTTTAAAACTTTTAACTGTGGAGTCTGCTGTCTTTATCCAGCACTTGCGGGCATGCGATTCCTCCAGCTGATTCATGGAATTCAGCGAATCTAGAGAGCATTGATTCGCGGACATCCTCAAATCAATAAATTTTCTGTGAGTTTCGCTATTCCAAATTATGTTATTACTTACGCAAAATCTTATTAACAAAACTTTTGTCCTGTTCTTACCAGTACCGTCTGTTTTTTTCTTCTTACGTTCTCATTCACAACTTTTTTTTATGCAACTTTTTCTTACTGAAAAACGCAACTTCCGATAAACTTAGAGAAAAAAGAATTCCTTAATAATAAAATACTAAGGCAATCACAAAAGTATAAAATTTTAATCTAAAACGATAATTACGAAATCGAATTAAAAATTAAAAACATTTTAAAAAGGGTTTGCTGAAAAAATTTTTTTTTCTCTTTCTTTTTATGAACTTATGTTTTAACGAGTTGCAATTTTGTTTTGTTAAAGAATAATTATTTTATCAATGTGATATATTTGCTTCGTTTTTTAATTATGTGATTACTATTAGACTGAATAAATTTTTTGTATGATATTGCGACATGGAATTTTCGAATCGTGCATTTCAGTAATTACTTTACAACGCGTTCAATACCATAGTTAATCCATGTTTCAATATCTTTTTTTAAATGCAATTGATTTTCTTATAGTTTTTGGAGTACGGATATTATAAAATGCAAAATTTGAATTGCTCATTGAAATCATCACTTTTTAATGCGCTCGCTTCTGTCGGTACCGTTGTGATTCTGTGCGGTGTTTCGATCGTTTTATCGCCTGCTATTGCTACGGACATTTTCTTTTTTATATACATATATTTTTATACATTATTATAACGAGACACGAAATTCTTGCATTTGTTGGTCACTTTTTGACGCAACGATATCAATGTTTTTCCGATGTAATTTTTTAACAGTTGCTACTGATATCCACGCGGTTTTTTAAATCCCTATATTTTCATACAAAAATTCGAATCGTATATCTAAGTAAATACTTTTAGCATACGATTTGCAATAAATCCACGCAGCTTCTCAATCTTTTTTTCTTCTTTATTTTTTAAAATCCTGATATTATGATGCGAAAAATTCAAATCGCGCACCTGAGTATTCACTATTTGACGCGATAATTTTATCGTGTTTTCAACCGGTTATCACTACTAATTTTTGCATATATTTTAACACTTTACCGACCGGTAGCGGTTCGAACATACTATGCCCTTTCACCGCCCGCTCAGCTGCAGATCGTCCGAGACACCGGCTCGGTTTCGGCCTAGACTGACGCGCGGGAATATATGTGCTTTTCTTAAACTCTGGTAAAATTGTACGCTTCGTGTTATTGTAGGGTAACGAAATTTAATAAAATCTTTTACTTTAATCANAATATTAACTTCATACTCAAGCAGTTATCACTACTAATTTTTGCATATATTTTAAAATCTCGATATTTTTAATGCATTAGTATTTTACAGCAATTAACCCTTTTCAACGCATCTAATTCGTGTGATTCCTTCGTAAATATGCGTGGGTTTATCTTCAATCTTTTTTCAATTATTTTTGATGCGAGGACTACTAAAGTGCGAAAAAGGAGGAATATATAACTTTTTTAATTATATATATATGTATTTTATTTGTTGATGAGGGAAAAAAACCTATTAGACTAAAAAAAAATTCTTTCCCTTTAAATTTTGTTTGTTACATAATTTAATAATTGTTTGTGCATAAAAATGAATGTTTTTTTTAAAAATTTCTTCTATGTACAAAACGAAGAATTATTGAGAACATTGAGAGAAAAAAATTCAAGTAATTCCTTATTCAGGCAATCACATGTCTGACTTGTTAAACCAGCAAAATTTAAGGTTTTTCTGAAAAACTTGTGAAAGAGTTTTCAACAACTTTTTTTATCCTCAATTTTTTTCAGATTTAAGAAGTTTTTTATGCAAAAAATTTACTTAGAACAGAAATTTCTCTATGTATTTAAAAAAATACTTAGAATTTCCATTTAGAACCATAGAGTAGTCTATTTAAAACGTCTTTGGATTACTATTGAATGAAATATTTTTTAAATTGGCTAACTTATTCAGTATATATTTTTTTATCAATGTTTTTTTTCTTCATCTTGTGGTAACTGAAAGGATAAAGGTAAGTATATTATCTATTCTACTGTGCTTGACTTCATGTGTTCAACAAAATAAGCCTGTATTTCAAAAATAAACAATTTTATTAACTGATTGTTTTGATTTATTAAAATTATTAATCATGATACAATGAATAATTTTTTGCATAATTGAATATATTATAAATTGCAAATAAACTGCATTAACTCTCATTGATTCTCTAAGAAAATCTGATCATAATATTTATTAAAACATTCTCAAGTGAGTCCCCTTGAAACTAAGAAAGAATTTTACTTCATCCGTGCTAACCTATGGAGAAATATGTGTATGGAAGTTTCTTATTTATACTGTATC